CCCCAAAAAAGAAAAAAATAAATTTATTGTTAGAACATTTATAATGGGCCAACCTAACCCCAAAATTTTTCTGATAAAAAAGTTATTTAAAAATTTTAGATTCTACCTAAAAAAGCTTACGAAATTGGCTAGCTGCTTTTAGGGCTTGGCCTTTGCTTTTTTTTTCTAAAAACAATATACGAAAAAAGATTACCTAAACTTTTGTAAACTTTTCAAAAAAGCTTACGAAGGTTTGGGGAACCAAAGTACTGAGCCAACTGTACTTAGAATATAGTTATTATATAATTACAGGTAGACTTTAGCAAACCCAAATTCAGTTGTTTTCATTGGCCCAGACCATATAACTGACATCATCATTACTTTCTTAGAATTCCTCCTATTAATCAATATTTTGGTTCAATTTATACAATTACCACAACTAGATTTAGTAAAATATTTTCTATAATATTCTGGTTATAATCATCCATATCTGGACTTATATTCACTTTTTATATTTCTATTAAAATTATATTCTATTAATTTTAATTCTACTCTTTATATTCTAATGAAAATTATTTAGATTATTTAAAGTATGATTTATTTGTCTTCTTACAATAAAACTTTAGAATTCTAAAGTATTTTAGAAGATAAGCAAAAGGCCATCATAAAATCAGAAGATGTTTATTAAAGAATATTGAAAGATTTTTTTAACTTATTGACGTGTCAAGATAAGGAAATTTTAATCAATTAATTATTGGCTATCTATCCTTAGAATGAATTTTATTAATAAATGAAAAAGTAAATAAAAGATGAAAATCCTTAAATGGGAGTGTTAGAACTTTTATTAAGTATCTTTTCTGACAATCATTCTAAAGTCAATCAAGAAAACTATGAATTTAATGATAAACTCTAAGAGATGATTATAGAATAAAATTGGATAAATTTATAAGAAATTTTGAATCCTAAATTTATGTAATACAATTTGGGTCCGAATTTGATTAAAAAATTGAGGGAGCATAATTTTAAAATTATCGATTTAATCCATTAATGTTAAGATGACCACTTCCAATTAAATTCTATTATGTTAATAAATTTGTTATTCTTTATTTATTTACCTGAAAATATTGGAATTACCTAAGAAGAAAAAATTCTAATATATTAATTTTTGACTGAAATTTTGGGTTAGGTTTGGCTGCAATTTGAATATTATATTTCTTCTTTCTAGGACAATAAAATAAAAAGATTGTTTTTAAATTTATCTGGAGATTTTACAAAACTCAAATCCAAATTAGATGAAAGCATAAATTAAATCTTATAAGTAGATATTGACTCAAATTCATTTGAAATATTGTAAGATTTGATATTAGAAAGATTGCCAATAGACCTTTAGTTATAAGAAATTTTTTATTTGGCATGCATTTATGTATTTTATATAGGTTTATCACAAACACCACAAATTTTAAATTAAAAGTTGTAAAAACTTAATAAATTTTTAGAAGCAAAATAATTACAAAGACCTTTAATTGCTCCAGAGTTAACATTGGCTATAGCCAAATTTTAAGAAGAACAAATGAATTTTTTAGGTAGATTTTCTAAATTCAAAATCAATAATTATAATAGCATTTTTTATCATCTATTTCATTCCAATTTACTCTATCTAAACAAAAAACAGCATATCGTAAATCTGAGTTTTTAATACTACTGTCAGTTTTCTAAAGTATTGAACTTGCTTTGCTATATAGAGGAAAAGGATAAGCGTAAGATAGCCAGTCTTATGAGTCAATTAATAAAAATGTAATAAATAGAAGAAATTATAATCGAATTAAAAAAACATGTAGATGCATTTCCTAATAATGGATTAATTATTCTTTTTAGAATTACCTAAGAGATTTTAAATTTTGAGTTTGATCTCTATTTAATACTCAAATAATATATTTATAATCCTATTCGGAGTTCTCAGATTCAATTTATCATCAAACTCTATTATTCATAAAGTTAATCTTATTAAGACTTTGATTAATTATTAACATAGGCAATTAATTTAGAATGGGATTTAATCAAAAATAATCCAATTAAATATATGATGGTTGATAATATTTTATAACATTATTTATAAAATTGTATTTCCATCTGCACATGTCCTTTTCAAATTTTGCGTAAGATTTATGAAGGGATGTTAGATCCAACAAAAAAAACCCCTTTAGTAATAACTTACTAATAATTATTAAATTTGTTTGATGATGATGAAGTTCATAAATTTACCATTTTGAATTAATAATAATAAATCACCTCAGAAGATTATGTATTCTCCTTTAAAATTTTATTGTAATTATATAGGTGTTTTCAAACAGCTTTAGAGAAGAAATTGTTTATGATTTCTTTAGATAAAATTATATTATTGAAAAATATGTATTGCATTGAAAATTTAATACAAATTTCTAATGAATAATATGAAGTTGAATTCATTACTATAATCATTTAGATGATGTATGAGTGGAAATAAAATAACATATCTAAGCTTTCAAGATTAGCAGAGGAATTATACATCAAGGATAGTAATATATATGAGAGATTTTTATCAAAATTTAACTTTTTTTAAAAAAACTAATTGAAACCAGAGTCTATTCTAAAACAAACTAAATATAATATTTATCCAAATAATCTTAACATTACATTAGAAGAATTTAACATATCACTCATTCTTTTAAGTTAGTAATAGTAATTAGTATTGGTTCAAAATTGGATAAATGATGTCAAAGATTCTAAAACTTTTCGATAACTTATTCCTTTCTTCTTCAACATAATTAAAAGAGGAGAATCTTCAACTTAATTTCTCTCTCTAATAAATAGGGAAATTAAAAAAAATGTTACTTAATTCAAAAAATATGGACATTTTAATTAAAAAGCATTATTCCAAATATTTTACCTTAATTCTAATATAGAACTATAAGTGATTTTATTAAAGTTAATGAGTAAATAATATCCAATACCATTATTGTATAGAGCCCCATTCGATAATTAATGGACTGATGATAAAGTAATATTTAATGTTAATACTATTTATGTTCATTAAGAAAGCTTTTCGATTATTAATTTTAGCTTAGAAGAAAATCAATCTAGAATAGGAAAAACTGAATTAATAAATAAAATATTTTACAAACAAGCTAAATTTGAAATATTAGATAATAATAGATTGAACTCTTCGACAATTGATATCATGTATGATTTTGAGTTCAATGATACTCGACGTTTATCAATTGCTGATGCTCATGGTTTTATTCCATTATCAAAGTTAGATAGTATATTACCACTATTTAATATGTGGATAATTTAATTAGATGGAGAAAAATAAATTGAAAATACAATTCAAAAATTGAATTAGTTAAGATCGTTTAAAAATAAAGATAAAGTTGTTTGTTTTTTAATAAGAAATTAGAGCATGAATTTATCAAACAGTTCAATTAATGAAATTAACGATTTATAAATAGAATATCATTCAGTTTGTGATCTATCAGATAAAAATCTTAATCAACAAATGATAGATGAGGAAATTGAATAAGTTTCGCATTTTCTACTTTCTAGAATTGATAAAAACAATAAGTCAAAGCATAAAACTTAGAATGAATATATTTAATTAATTAAAAATGAATGCAATGAAGAATAATTCAAAGGGATTTTAGATAGTTTAAATCTTTTTTAAACAATTGAATAAGAACTTGAAGTTTTAATATAAAAAGAAGACGGGTTTTATCATTAGAATGCATTTCCTATAAGAAGTATTGATTGGAAAATTAAATAAAAAAAAGAATCATTTTAGCTTATTTAATAAGATAAAGAATGTTAAAATAATTAATAAGAAATTAAAAGCAGTATCTAAGAATTAGAAAATTAAAAAAATAAACAATAACCAACCTAATTGATTAATTTGTTCTGTAAAATGTTACAATAAAGTAATTACTATCTATTGTATCTTTAATTTGTAGAGAAAATTAGAAATTTTAATGATCATCATAACTATAAGCTTCAGGAATAAAATTAATGTATTAATGATTCAATATAAAGATTAAAAAAGGAAAAAGAAGCTCTTAGGCTTAATGAATAAAATAAATAAATATCACCTGAATTAATGGAATAAAGGAGTTAAAAACAAAAAGAAATATAATAATTAATTAATGAATTGAGAACTAATTAAGAAATTATCTCAAAAAGAAATATTGGAATAGAGTTATTTTGGAGAGAAATTATATCTTAAAAAAAATTATGCAATGATTCTAAAATTGATATTGATCCAGCAAAGATCGTGAAAGAAATGATCTAAAAAGGAGAATCATTTGAGTTTCTAGATGGAGATTAACTAAATATTGATTAATTATTCTTAACATAATTGATTCAAAATTTCAATAATTAAGGAGAAGAAAAAGTTTTAGTTTTAAGTATTCTAGGTCCTCAAAGCTCTGGAAAATCTACTATTTTAAATAAAATATTTGGTTGTCATTTTTGGACTAGTGTAGGTCGATGCACTAAAGGAATTTATTTATAATTATTGAAAATTCATAATACAGAATATTTTGACAATTTATTTGATTATTTGATCATCTTAGATACAGAAGGTCTTTAAAGTCCAAATTAAGAGGATCCAGAATTTGATAAAAGAATTGCATTATTTGTATTATCAATTAGTAACATCATAATAGTAAATGTTAAAGGGGATATAACTATTCAATTCAGATCATTAATTGAAATGTGTATGTTTACGTTGGGATAAATGAAAAGCTTCACAAACAAAAAATAAATTACTTGGTGTTTTAATTAAAATAATGATGTTAATAATTAAGCTCCATTTTTAGCTTAATTATAATAAATAGCAACTAATTTGAATAAAGAATACAATAATAATTAAGAATCTGATGAGATTGTTGATTATAATGAGACACTTGGGATAACAACAGAAAATATTTCTATCCTAGGATTTGCCTCGATTGAAAAACTTTGGAAAAAGAATGAAAATAATGGTATATATTCTAATTGGAGATAATTAATAATAAATGGAACATTTTCAGAAGAAGCATATTAATATGCAATTTCTGTTATTAAAGCATATGTTGAAAAATGTAAAAATTCAAAATCTAATAATTAAGAATTAACTGTTCAAATGGAAGATTTAAAGTGTTTTATTTAAAAAATTGACACTAATTGGAGAAGTATATCAAACTTACCAGATTTATTAGAATTTTCAGAATTAATTTAGCATTAATAAAATGAATATACTAGACAGTATATTGATTAAATTACAAGAAACTCAAATTTCCCTGACAAAATTTCATATATTTTAAAAATTCGTTAATAAATCGAATAAAAAAATCAAAGGATATCTAAAATAATTTTAGATGAAATTCGTTCTGAGTAAGTGACAATGATGAAAGCAGAATTTGATAGAATCAAATCTTAATTGAATGAAAAACTATTGTCATTTAAAAATGAGAAGTAGATCTCAAAAAAAGTCTATATTAAATATTAAAATATCATTAAAGATAGAATAACTAGTGAAATTTCTGCATATCATTTATAAATTAACTCTGAAATTAAGGCTTAAGAAGCAATATTATATAAAAAAAAAGGCTTTAATAAAATTTATAAATTTATTGAAAATTTAAATCAGAATGAAAATGAATTAAAATAGTACAAAGATAATGAAAGTTTACTTAATAAATCCTTTAATTAATTATGGAATGAAATCGAAAAGGAACATTCTTAGGAATAAGAAAAAATGTTTACAGAATATTGTGATAGTATATTTAAAGTAATTTAAGCAGAATTTAAAAAATATCTCTTAAAATCCTAGGAATAATATAAAGAGGATTTTATGATCAAACTTATTAAATAAAAGCCTGAGCAATAGGAGTTTCTGCAATAATTAAGCATTATGTAATCATAACTGGATTAAATTTAATTTATAAGTTTAGAATAATCTTAAAAGACTTATTAATATAATGAGAACTTTGCACTAACTATCTCCCAAAAGGTGAAGGCTATGAATTAAGAAAACTCAATTTTGTAGATCAGCAATTTTTATAGATGGAAATTAACCTTTTTCTATCTAAAAAAAAAAGATCTGGAAGAATATATGAAAGATAAATTTATTGAGGAATTGAAAAATTATGTCAAGAAAGATTAGACTAAATAATAAAAAAAAGCAATAAAAGAATTTTTAGACTTTTTTATAATTTTTTAATACCAAATTACAGAAGAAAACTTAGACAAACTTGATAAAGGATTTAAATTTATTAATAGTAAATCTTTATTAGAATTATTAGCAAAAGATGATAGTCTGGATGTATGTAGAGAATAATTCGAAATATCTTTAAAATTCTTTCAAAAAAATTGCAACCAATTGATGAAAAATTAGCAATATCAGGACGAAATTTTTCCAATAACAAGCAATTTTGATTTTAATGTATTTAAGACCAAACATTTTTAAAATAATAAATACTTACTTAAGGTTATAGAAGAAGTGGTACCTGATTTTAATGTATAAAATAAGGATTTTTTTAATTTTATTGATAAGAAAAATGATTTAAAGAGTAAGTCAGTTTTTAAAAATTAAATTGTAAATATTATCACTGAACTCATGAATGAAACTAAAGGTTGGAATAAAATGTATGGTCAAGTCCATTTGTTAATATTATAAGAAATTACAAATGATAATAGTAATGTTATGTAAAGTTAAATTAATGATATCACAAAAATTCCTTAATATACTCCTTTTTTGATTACAAGGATAATGGAAAAAATTAAATTAAAAATAAAAGAATTTAATCAGAATTTTTCATATTTTGGAGTAATGTTAAATGATTTAGGCGAAAGATGTGTATGTAATTTTGCAATTTTTGCGATTTGGAGATTGTTCTGTTTTGGTGAATGGTAATCAACTTAAATCAGTATTGAAGAATTATAATCATAGAAAGATGAATAATTTAAAAAATTTTCAGCTGACGTTCTACAAAACAAATAATAATAAAGTAAAATTAGTGGAGTAACACTTGCCAATAATATTATTAACTTTGCTATTGAGATATTTTATTTAAAATATGGAGTAGAATCTTCTAAAATATTTGAAAAGTATAAGTCAGAATCATGCTATGATGTTATTAAACAATTAGATAGTGATATTCTAGAAAGTAAAGATATTAAAGTAAATAATGATGAAATATTTAAATACATAAGTAATTAAACAGAATATTTAGAAAATCATATAAAGAAAAAAGTATAAAATATTAAGATAGAATTATAAAATAAAATTATTTAATAATTACAACGAGATCTCAAGTATCATTTAGAAAAAGTTGAAGCAAATACTAAATATTTATACGATTGCACAATTGATTTCACCTAAGCAGAAGGGTATTTCATTGGGTTAAATAATTCTAAAGAAGCTCCAACTCTTTTATTTAAAATAGTTTTGAATTGTCTTTCTGGTAAAGAATCAACAGAATATTCCTCTATGATTCCTAAAGACAAATAAGATGCATTTTCTACTACAAACTACCATAAATTTGATTAATTAACTTCAGCACTACAAAATTAAGATGGAGAAATATAAATTTTGTTACACTTTATAAGAGGTTTTAAAGATAGAATTAGAGAACAAATTACTAATATTGATAAACTTACAGTTGATATTGCTAAATTAGATATTTAAGATGCTATAGAGAAGATAAAGCTAACACAAATAGGATGTTTAGAGGTATGTCCAATGTGCAAAAGAAAGTGTGATTCAGATATTGAAGATAACAACCATATACATTAATGTAAAAATGGTCACCAACTTAGAGGTATTATTTTAAATTTAAATACATAGGTATGGCAGGAGTTTTAATTGGATTTCATCCATCATTATACACATGTGAAGAAATCTAAGATGATTATTAAATTTAGGAGTTGGAAAATAATTCAACCAAAACTTGGAGTTAAATTAAATAGATTTATCATACATGGTAATTTAAATGTCTTTAAAAAGAATAATAATAGTTATTGAAAGAAAAATATATGAAAATTTGGAATAATGATATCGGAAAAATGATCTGCATATAATTAAGTAAAAAATTAGGAAATGAGGTATATTATACTCCAAAGCAAGAGGTTGAGTTATCTAAGCACCAAAATTATGTTGGCGCTTCTCATTTTATCTTGATATTAGATGATTCAGGATCAATGTAAGGAGAAAAATTTAATTCAGCAAAAACTGGATTAATATCTTTTTTATATGAAATATCCCATAATGCTCAATCTAGAGTAACCATTATAATTTTTAATTCTTCAGCAAGATGTGTTGTTGACTATGAATAACCAAGCCCTTCTAAATAAGAACAATATATAAAGTATATGGGAGGCGGCACAGACTTCAATTAAGCATTTTTATTAGCTTATTAAAAGATTTCAAATAATAACAACTATCATAATTTTGAATCGTATATATATTAACTATATTTAGATTATCAATATTTTTTTATACAGATGGAGCCGCGCCTTTTCCAGGAAAAGCTATTGGAGAGTTTTAGAAGCTTCCTTCTGATTTGAAATCAAAATTAAAAATTATTGCTTGCACAGAAGAAAAAGAGCAATTAGAATCATTAGAAAAAATTGTGGAATTCTTTTAAAAGGAATGTTAAAGTGGTTAGCTAAACCCTTCTATGAAACCTATATAAATTGGAAAAGTCTGGATTGAATCAATAAGTAATAAGACTCATTAGATTAAAAAGTGTTGAGGATTCTATGAAAGGAATTAAACTTTATTAATAAAATCCTTTTTAAATTACATTAATTTGCATAGCACAATTTTATATATCTTTAATATATACTCATGTGTTCATTTTATTTGTAAATATATTTTATTAATATTCAATCTATAAAATTATTTATAAATATTTAAATTAACAATATACTAAAGGAAAATTAATTTGTAAAAATACCTAGCAAATATTACAATAAACTATATTATGATATATTATTAGAATCTGTTTCAGAATTAATCCATTTAATATATAATTAATATTATTTTAAAGTGCTATTTAAAATATAGCAAAAAATTTAAGGGAATATACCAATCTAATTTTTCTTTGAGTAACATTAAGTATTTAAATCTCTTTTCTCAATTAGTATTATCAACAATAGAAATTATTTTAGTATAAATTATTTAAATATTTTATTCATTGGAATAATTGAATAATATTTGCTTAAGGGTAAACAGGTAAATTTTTTTCTTTAGTTTGTGGAAAAACTTTACTATGACAGGAGTACCTGAGAAAGCATATTTTTATATTTTTATTTTTAAATTAATAAGGAAGATCTAAAAGGTATTATACCAATCGCATTTAATAATTATAACATAATGATACTAATGCTGATATATAATAGAAATTTTAGTTGGAAATTTCTTTCTTGAAATAGATATGGAAGAAATTCATTTTTATCCGGAAAGGATAAGAAAATATAATTAGATTTAAAAGAATCATGAATTAGTGAAACAGTGAAAGTTTTAGCAATAGTTGCAGTAAAAACAACTAAAAATATGGATAAATATATGTCGTAAGATTATTATAGAAGACCAATCATCACAATATTTTTACAGCATATGTGAAAAGCTAACAGTATATGCAGAAGAGAGAAAATTTATAAGAGTAGGTTAACTGAATTTAGTTGATTGAGTTGAAAATAAAAGATAATCAAGAACAAAATCAACTGGAGAAAGATTTAACGAAGCAAGAAAAAATTAATTTATCTTTATCTGCTTTCGGTAATGTGATAACAGCATTCGTGAATGAAAATACTTAACATATTCCTTATAGAAATTCTAAATTAACAAGCTTATCATAAGACTCTTTAGGTGATAATTCTAAAATAATTATGTTTACTGAATTGAGTCCTGCTGATTATTGTTAGGATTAAACAATATCTTGTCTGAAAGATGCATCTAAAACTAAGATGATCGAGAATTAACCAAAAATTAATGAAGATCTAAAGATGCTTTCCTTAAATAATAAGCAGATGAAATTTTTAAAATTAAAGAGTAAAATATATAAAAGTAACTACAAAAAGTAACTATAAAATGTTTAATGTTTTATATTAATTTAGGACTTAAGAAGCAAAGAAAATTAACTAAAAAAATGGTTCTTTTTAATGAGCTACACATTATCTAATTGATTTTAATTTCTTTCATACCATATAATAATGACTTCTATTAAAAATTTAATTCATATTTTATGATTTACCTTATAAAAAGTTGTTTTTTTGGCTTCAATGATGTGCAATCCAACATATATCTATTTCAGCCAATCTTTAATAGTTAATAAATATTTATTTTTTCATTAATTGCATAATCACTATATTTAAAATGATAGTACATATTAATCTGGAAATTTAATAGTGATTAAACTCATTGCTTCATTTTTCTAGTAAATTACATTTGAACTAAATCTACTTTAGCATATATTATAATTTTATATAATTTGTCTCTATCCCAAAGCCATATTTTTAAAGTATTCAATTAAGATATATATTGTAGCACTATATGAATCGAAAATCCAGGTTAATACCAAGTAAAACCATTGCCATCAATATTAAAAGAAGAAAATTATAGAAATAAAAAATGAAGTCATCCTTTTTAATTAGCATAAAATTGTAAGAAATATTTTCTTGTTTCCATCATTAATTCACAAATATATTCTCTGTCTTTCAATCCTTCTTATTAAGATTATGGTGAAACATCATATCATAGATTTTTTTAGATTCTAAATTTTTAATTTAAGAATACATTTAACAATTTGAAATATAGAATGATGAATTAAGATGCAATATATAAACATAATCTAAACAAACTAAGTATCAGATATATACAATTACTGATTATTTTTCTAACTAGGAGACATTTTGATTTATATAAATAAAAAATTTAAATACTAATAAGTAATATTATTCAGTTTCTAAACTTTAATAAATTACATAAATTCATTTGAAAATCATAAAAATAATTATCCATCCTTGATTCTAGTTTTAACCTTCTATTAAATAATTCACCAAATTGAAATTTACTTTAGAAAAAAAAATTATAGTTTATTTAATTAATTAAAAATGTTGTTTATGTCATTTATGTCCAATAAATCTATAACAAACAAACAATATAAACAAAAAGATTAAGTAAGTAATGGTATTAAAAGTTTACTCAATGTATTTATGAAAAATCAAAACTAAAATAATCAAATTTGTCTATAAACATGAATTTAATCAATTGACCAACACCAGGAGAATTTAAAAAATGACCAATAAAAAAGCTAACATTGCTTCAAATAATGTTTTCCCCTCTTATATAAATATATGATTCCCTAAAGTTTACTCCTAATTATATAACTGAAAATAATTGAATATATCTAGGATATTATTACAAATTCAGTTTATTTTCTAATTCTTTAATAGCAAAATTCTTACTTTAAACTGTCTAAAATATTACTATTAGATAATGGGATTAATACATTTTTTTATAAATTAGCAAGATTCTAGTATCAAAGATCTTCAATTGATTATTTTATCGATGTTAATAATTTCTAAAACTTTGTTTTAAATATTTTTTTAGGTTTTCCAACTTAAATTAAAAATTATCAATAGTTTAAATAAAATTAAAGAACTTTTAAAAAGTTTAAAGAAATTTGTTTACTTGATATATTCAGTTTAAAGAAGAAATAGGAAAATCAAACTTTGTGATTAGAGATGATATTTTTAAGCAAAAGCAAATCTTTTTTGTTATTTGTAATGATATGAAAATTTCTCACCTATTTAGATCTTGGAAAATCTGGGAATTGAAATTATTAGAAATAAATTTATATTTTAGTAATATGGAAGCCTATGCTTAATTTTTTGTTTCAATCCATTTTCCTATTTTTTTGACTTTATCATAAATTCCAGATATTAATTATTGATTCATACTAATTATAAAATTAGATTATACTCTTAAAATGTATAGCTCAATTCTATCCATAGTACTAAAAATAAATAAATATATTACATAATTATTTTATTGAAAAATTATATCCCATAATCCAATTTTATGTTCCTAAATGTAACTTATGAATCACTAAATAATAATAACCATTATTTACCGTCTAAAATTTGACGATATATCAACCAAAATTTCATGCTTAATCCTCTTTCATTGTAAATTTCTTCATTACTTTAAAAATTAGTAAGATAACATTACTTAATTAAATTTTTTAAAATAGTTTTCCATTTTCAATTTTGCTACCATTTTGTTCTCTGTAAATTTCATAATAATCCATCCATTTACCATACTTCAGACAATTTTGGTTTAATCCACTATTTTCGCTTTACATAAGAAATCTATAATTACATCACATCATCTTTATGAATTCTTTCAAATATTCCTAAATATCTTCCAATTTAATAGTGTTCTATTTTAATTATTTGATCGTATCTTTTAATATTTATAAATATATTCCAATCCTATATTTTGTACATGTTTATATTGTTTTTTATTAATTAAATCTTTTTAAGTATTATAAAGTTACTCTTAAAACTCTTCTGATAAATCTATCCATTTTCCTTAATTTCAATCCATTTTCATCATATTATTTTCTTCCCCTAGATATAATTATAGTGATAATTACAATTTTTAATCCCTAAATTTTTTTACACAATTTTCAACTTTTCTTCCATTTTTATACTTGCCTATTAATAAGACTAATAACCTGTTTTTATCCCATTTTAGTTAAAAAAACCTCCTGCGCTTTAAATTAATTTATATAAGTAATATTATTTCATTTTTTAATTTTAAATTCCCATTTTTATCACAAAACCCTCATTCTACTTTCTCAGCATTCCAAAAAGTATCCAAAAATCCAATATTATTGATTGAATCTTCAATTCTGTATATTCATATTAAAAATTATATTTATTCTATATTTCTTAAAATATGTAGTTTGTGAGATTAATATTGTATTCTATAGTATATTTATTATAATTGTTGTTTTCATTCTTTAAATAGTTTAGTCATAAATGTAAATAAGTTATCCATTAGAACTAGTGTTCAAAATTATCTACGACTGATCAGTATTGCAATAAGGCTATCAGAAATTTAAATAAAACCTCCTTAAAAAAAACTGGAAATCCACTAATCATTTTGCAAGACCATTTCCTCTATTTTCTTTATATTAAATTATGTTTCTTAAATCTATGTTGATTATGCAAATGCCTTTTTAATTAATTAAGAAATAGCTGAATAATTCTTCTCCGTCAGCTCTATATCTTTCTAATTATCAGAATTCATATGATATTAATTAATTTTATAAAGATTTTTATTTAATAGTTAATTTTTAATTGCTTCAAATAATACGTATTAATTTAATTAAATCTATATTTAAATATTAATAATTTTCACAATATCATCAACATACAAATAATGAGGCATTTTTGTTAATTTAAATATTTCATAAGAAATGAATAATAAAAATGCAATAAAGTAATTTTTTCTCTTTTAATTTTTGATGAA